CGTTCGAGGCGCGCTGCCCACCTGTCTCCGTTACCGGCGCTTAGGTCGCCCATCCCGATGTGCGGGCAGCAACCGCCTGCACAGCAGGCAGCAAAACTGTGCAGTCGCGTGTTGCGAGAAGAAAAGTGTCTTTAAAGGACGCCGAAAGGTACATAATCCTCTCCGAGTTTTTTCGACGGCTGCGACTCTTCTGCTGCATCTGTGTCTGAAGCCCGAAAGACGCCGGGGCTCTGCCAGACTTTGGCCGTGCACGTCGCGCAGGTGTCCTGTCTCTTGTCCCGGCCAGGACCGGAGCCCCTCAGGTTTACACTTGTGTGTGTTGCGGCAGGCTCTGACGCTCCGGTTTTGCATTCCTTTGAGCGGACTTAGCCGGCTTACTTCCTACCATCAGTCAGGGAGGGGAGAAAACCCCAAAAAACCTTCTTCAGTTACCAGTCCAAGAGGGCGAGGGCGGGGGGGGTGGGGGCAGGCTACAGTTCTTTTGAAAATGCCTTTGTCTTTAGAATTTGTTCTTTTGAAAAACCTTTTGTCTTTAAAGTGAACCGACTGGGCTTTATCTTAGAGTGTGCCTTTAAACAAAAAAAGTAACAGTGATTCGAGTAGCATATGGGATCTGTAATGGAAGCTTATCAGGGCAAAGATGGAGCTCAGGAATGGAAGAAGGAAACCTGTGGTTTAGTGCTGCAGCGGAGGAAAAAAGGGAACTTTTTTGGGGGTAGGAAAGGAATGCAGTTAACGCTGACAAAATTAAATCTCTCATCTCTTAATTAAGTGGTGAAAATGGGAAAAAACTCTGAGAAAATGAGAACAATGAGGTTTTGAAATGGCCTTCCATTGAATAGATTCCACAGCTCTGTAAGCTAATTCTAAAAGATTTGTAAAACAATCTCTTAATAGTTTCTTCATCTGAAAATCTTTTCCTGAGCAGTATTTATTAACTCTAGTCCATCTAGATTTCCCATTCTGAAGTTGAAAATACTTATTACGTGGATTTCAGTTGCCTGTCTTTATTTCAGTATTAAATGTCTTCATGCAGTGTGTGCTTATGCGTTTAAGACTACATATGTCAGATGTGTGTGGGCAGATGAGTGTAAGAACAAGTTAAAAGAGAATATGAGAAAAGGACCAAAGACTTTGTGCTTCATACTTGGTCAGGCTATTGCCAACTTCATATTCACATGGTTGTTAATGAGATGCAAAACACAGCTATGACAAAGTAAGTGAAAACAGGAATCTGAACCCATGCATGTTTTCTGTCTCATCCTGCAGGATGAAGAAACACGTAAAGATTATGACTACATGTTGGATCATCCAGAAGAGTATTACAGGCATTATTATCACTACTACAGCAGGAGACTAGCACCTAAAGTGGATGTCAGAATAGTGATTCTGGTTACTGTGTGTGCCATCTCCATGTTTCAGGTAAAATTTCCTGTTTATGTGACACTGCTCAGTGAGTTTCTGGATGGGAAGACAAGTATCTGCAGCTCTCGTAATGTGCCAGGTGTTAAACCTGACCGGTGTCAGTGAGGAGGCCCGCTTCTTACTTGGTCAGCTTTTCTGCGGTGTCCATAACAAACCTGAAGTCAGGATATACTGAACAGGTTTTTGACTGCCCTTGGTGCCTTGGACAAAGGTAGAGGTTAGTTTCTTTTAATGATAGGATATTTCATAGAGACAGGTGCAGCTTTTCTAAAGAAGTTACTTAGTTCTTCATGGCAGGGTCGGAATAGCCTGTTCCTGAGCACAGGCAGGGCTAGTGTTCCAAATAAGCGTGTGTCAGTTTGCCAAGCTCCCCAAGTAATTTTTTTAAAAACCAGACTAGCTGTGAACGACATACAAGACACAATTCTGATAATAGGACTGAATATCAGGGGTTTACTAATGTGTGAATCTTACATTGCAGCGTATTTTAAACACCGCAGTGAAGTCAGGAGAGAAGCCAGTTTGGTTCAGCAAAGTTTGTGCTGAAGTGGTAGATCCAAGGTCAAGAAAACAGCCTGTTTTCGATGAGAAAGCTTGTGCTATTGCTGACAAATATTTAAGTGGAAGAAGATGCATAGCTCTTTTCTTTAGGATCTATTAGATTATTCATTCAAAATGTCATTAAAAATACTCAAAAAATTGGGTATTATTTGATAATATGATATTATTTGATGGCGCAGATAGCTTACTTTTTAATGGGATACTGGAAGTTAAAATATGTTGATCAGGATTTGAGAGCTTGGAATAATAAATTCCAATGGCGTATGCAGACAAATACTTAATTTCTCTCCAGACTTACTTCCAGGGGCAGAGTTTAATTTTACCTCTGATTTTGGCTATAAGTGGAGACACTCAATTTCCTGCAGCCCAGCTGCCAGGTGATTACAATTCAGTGTAACCATCTCGGTAAAACAATTTGCCTCTCTCTTGCTTTCTGTTGTTTCTGCTTCTTGGCCTTTGTTGGGGTTGTATAATGTGCATATGCCTGCCCTGTGTCTTGGTGAATGGTGTGAAGTGCTGCTTTTTTTCAAAAGTTGTCCCAATAAGACATGATCACCCCAGGCACTATGGTTCTGGTTTGTTGTTTGGGGTTTTTTTTTGGCCAGTGAAATCCGGAAGATGGCTGGAGATTAGAGAGGGATGTTGAATCTTGTGAAGTGAATCCTGTTAGACTAATGAGATTGTCACCTACGTAATCTGTGTTTAATTAACTATTCTAAATGGTTTTATAATGGAATATTCATATACCAGCTACTTTATTTACAAATCTAAGTGGACTTCTCGGAATGGCCGGCACAGCCTAGCATTAACCTTCAGGAGACTACAATCTTCTCGTGAACAAACCCAATTTGACCAGTGTCTGCTTGTCCTTCCTCATCACTGAATATTGCTGTGGGATACACATCTTAACTTTCTAGATGCCTTACTAAGTTTGGAGGAATAATTGTAACTTCTGTAATACTGCAGAAAAAGTCCTTTTACCTTCAGTTTTACCCTTGCTGTAATGTAATTGTGGTTAAAGGTGTATGACCGCATTATTTTTTTTCCTGGCAAACCTCTGAATAGGAATGTGTATAAAAACGTGGTTTTTACTTTTACTGTTCTTCAATTACAGTTCTTCAGCTGGTGGAGTAGTTACAATGAAGCTATCAACTATCTAGCTACTGTGCCAAAATACCGTATACAAGCTACTGAGATTGCCAGGCAACAAGGTTTACTCAACAAGACTAAAGAAAAAGGCAAGAACAGGCGGTCTAAGGAAGAAATTCGTGAAGAAGAGGAAGAAATCATCAAAGATATTATTAAAAATAAAATAGATATAAAAGGCGGTTATCAGAAGCCCAAGATATATGATATCCTTCTATTTCAGATCCTTCTTGCTCCTTTCTACTTGTGCAAATACATCGTTTGGTACTGTTGGTGGATTTATTGTTTCACTATTAAAGGGCAGGAGTACGGTGTGGAAGAGAAGCTGTATATCATACGAAGGTACATGAAAATGTCTCAGTCTCAGTTTGACAGCCTAGAAGATCATCAGAAAGAGATCTTTCTTGAGCGGCAGCTGTGGATACGAGAAAACTATGAGGTGGGTAGCTCTGGTGGAAAAGCTAATGTTAATTATCCCAGAGTAAGAACAGCTGTTTTGTGAAGGTGCTTGGGAGGGGGCTGTGTGATGCATTGCTTCAACTTTAGCTGTTGCTTTCTAAATTGAAAACAGTTGGACAACTACCCGGTGTGTTTTCTTAGACTTCTTATGCTCAGGGACTGGTAGACAACAGCTCCTGACCGTGCCCTTGGATATAGGAAGGGATTTGCTTGGTCAGGGGACGTCCACGTGTGATTGCTAAGGAATCTATGCATACAAGATTGAATCTGATGAAAGGCTTTCTTATAACAATGGGGTATGGCAAAGTTATTACAGTAAGTTGAAGACTGTTCTCCAAGCAGTAATAATTTGTAACAAGAATTACCTGGATCACCTGAAACTCCTATTTCATTAGTCTTCTAAGCCATTAATTCCGAGCTCCTTTTTTTTTTTTGACCTGTCCCTTGATAATTCTTTGGCCTCCGGTAAGGCAGGGAGTTCTTGCTGCGCTGTATACCTTTTCAAGTAAAGACTGCATACGAAATAGCACTGGGCACAACTGCTGCTCCTGCTATGGATAGCCAGTTACTGAATAGTCAATGTGTAACTTTATCTTTTAAGCTTTCTCTGAGAACAGTGAAAGAACATTAGCCACAGCATGGAATTTGCAGTCCAGAATGACTTGGGATGCTGGGGATTGGCAGATTGACAAAACACTTTTGTTGTTCCATAGAAGCTCATCTGTGGGCCATCTGGGTGGGAGCTTGCTAGAAGAGAAACTGAGAATATGAACTTGGCCTGCTTAAGGGGAAGAGGAGATGTTGTTGCTGCTGTGCATGTGCTGGGAAAAGAAAAGGAATGGTGGCAGGATTGCTTTTGCTGCTGGCAGGGCACCAGAGATAAGAGAATGCTTCTTTAAAAGTAGGCAGGGGTGGATTAATCTAGAAACTTGAAGGGGAAAATAGTAAAATCGATGCTAATGTAAGGAAAGGGTTATCTGACAGGTACATACACATGTTGAGTTGTGGTGGGTTTGCTAGGAAACAGTCCAGAAGTCAAAGAAGATGTTATATGGATACCCTGTTGTTGTAGAGAAAAAATGACGTGGTTTGGCATCCATGCTGTTTCTAACTAGCTGTATTTGCCAGAAGTGAAGTCCGTTTAGCCCAAACTCACTTCTTGCGGTGGCCAGCAGTTGATTGTTAGTGAAGAATACGTACAAGTTGCACCTAAGCAATACTTACCCAGTACAATTTGTAGCTGCGGGACTTCCTAAAAAGGAAATGGTGTCATTGTAAGTAATTGCTTTAATGAGTTTTTCTTTAATGAACTTACCTGGTTACTCCTTGAGTGCATTAAAACTTTCAGTGTCTGCTGTGCCATCTGGTCATGAGTTCAGCAATACGTGTAGAAGGTGGTTTGTTTTTTTTTTTTTAAGCCACCTGGACATCTGCTGATTCTTTTATTATGCGAAATGGAAAATAATTGTGCTTTATTCTCTTTTCTCATGCTACCTGTGCTCCTGTGTACCACTACCATGTCCTTACTTGAAACTTAGTTGTGTCTTTTCTAGGCTGAAAAATATGCTTAGGTGTTTCTCCTCAAAAGTTTCTCTCTTCCTTGATCACAGGAGATGCGTGTCTACATATTGCTCAGTTTTCCAATATCCTTTCAGGAGGGGAAATACCAAGAATTCAATACGTGGATACATCATGGAGCTCCACAATGTTTGTTTGTTTGGTTTTTTTTTTCCCCTCTTTTACTTTGCTAGTAATTCTTTAAACCTGTATGATCAGTGAACATTAAGCTGGTGTATTTATAAAGCCATCTATAATATTTTCAGCAGAACCTTACATTTAACTCCTGTCTGGGAGGAAGACAGATGACACAGAGATGACATAAACCTGTATGGTGTTGAGATTTACACTGGCTGTATCTACATAACTGCCTGCCAGAATAGAAATGCAGATGCTGTTGCTTTTTTTGGATACTTGACTTTGCTGGTGATTGTAGATTTCATTGCGACACCATTTCTTGTCAGAATGTAATAACCTATCATTTGGTACTGCGAATACTTAATGCAGAGATAATAATTTAGTTGAGAAACTTAATTAGGAATAAAAAGTTCCCTAGCAGTATTCTGTCTCGACAGTGACTTTGAAATGGGAAAACAACGAAAGGGAGGAGCTGAACAACTGCATTGAACAGTATGTGTGCTGAGAAAGGACTCAAAGTCCAGTTTTCTAAGCATTAGCAGTTCTTTGCTGTAAATGTTATTTTGTCAAAGGCATGAGCATCTAGTTCTTTAGCAAAAAGAGTTTGGAGCTTGCAGCACCATCTTACAGGGAGGTAGTTCTGCTCTCAGCAAAAATGCAAAGCATCTCGACTGCAGCCAGTAGACTCCTCAGCTGAAGGTATTCCTGCGCTTTATGTTGGCCGAGGTCCGCTTCTATGTTGCAGTTCAGTCTCTTGTTAAAAACAGTAAGTTGGTGAATGGCTGAACTACAGATGCTTACCCCCCTGCCTTGAGGTTCACTTCAGCTGTTTCTTCAGCCTTATTAAAATCTTTTGTCTGCCTATCAGGTCTATAAACGAGAACAAGAGGAGGAGTTAAAGAAGAAGATGGCCATGGATCCCCGATGGAAGAGATATCGGCGGTGGATGAAGAATGAAGGACCCGGAAGACTGACTTTCATTGATGATTGAAAGTTGCTGAATGAAATGTGTGCTAATGTTGAAAGTCATTTGCAAAACTGTTCACTACATCATTCAGAGTTTTGTCTGTTGTGGCTCGTCAGTGGTCTAAAACTCAGGAATTATTAAATCAGGCCGAAAAATAATACAGGTTTACCACTTTTATAAATCAGACCTATTAAACAGTCCCAGCTCAATGTATATATGCCATTTACTTGGGGATCTCAGTGTGGAATTTATTATTCCACACAATGTATTTTCTCTACATATTTCATGTTCATGATCAATGGAACCATAATTTTAGTCTTTCTGAAAATGTTTCTAGGTCAGTCCTTGAAAGTCTTGTTTTTCCTTTTTAAACTGAAGGGTTCCTGCAAATGGATGCTGGAAATGCTTATAAAGGATTCTGAAACAAGAGCTGTTTTCAGTTTTCCTTTCTTTCCCCCCTACTTTTCAATCTAATTTCTAAGATGCCAAATTTTTTTATGATGTAGACAATATGGGGATTATACTGGACTGCTTCTTTTGCTATTCATGGTGCAGTTGGAAATGAATTTTTTTTTTGTGGGTATAAATGATGCATGACTGATCATCATTGTGATGCAAACAAGCCTTAATTCTTTGTTCTACAGAGTGATTCATGAAATAGTATGCTAAGGTCTTTTTCATTTGGTTTTTCATTTGTTTTTTTCATCTTGTACGTTGGATTGTACCTGCTTGTTCAGAACAAGTGTACCAGTGAATATTAGTCTACTAAATGTGACATTTCTTTCACCAAAGTATTGGTAAAAGGGAAAATGACCCTTTTGTTAAAAAGGGCAATTTTGATGCCTTATGTAAATAAAAGTTTATGTAATATACATACTGAATTTGTTTTAAGTTCTAAACCTAAAGCATTCTTAATGCTTATCTCTTCTGATCAGACCTCAGAGTACTTAGAATAAATAATGCACAACAGCATGCTGTGGTTTGCTCTGTAGCTCAGCCCAGGTCAGAGTTTCCATGATTTGCTGGTAAAAGGGATTCTGTTACTCTTAGTTCTGTTCAGGAATTTCACTGGGGAAGGGGCAGGTGGGGAGCATAGCGAGATGAGACTTCCACTGTTGGTCTGGAAAAGCAAGTTCTTCAGAAGTGTTTCTGCTGAAAACAGTGCTAGGTTAGCAGGCTTCTGTGGAGGCTGGTTCTGGGAGAGAAGCTCTTGAACTTGGTACTCCTGCCAAAGCCCATAATAGCTAAAAGTTCTAAAATTCTTGCTGATTAATTTTTGAAGCAAGACTTAGCTGATTCTGCAAAGGTGATCTGTCTTCATTTTTTGAGGGAGAGTTTCTGTTCTCGATGCCTCTTGTGCTAGTTTAGCTTTTACTAGTTCTTGGAATGTTGACTCAGTTTTCTGTTTAAAATAATACATACTCAAAAGCATGTTAGCAGTATTATGCTAAATGGCTAACTTCCGTATGCATTAGTAAAATCAAAGAGGGACTGCTGCTAAATTTGTCCTTCATCTCTGCTGCACGCAGTGTAGCTGTAAACTTAAGTCACTGTGTTTAACACAATTCAAATTTAAAACTTGTTAAAGAAGGTGTCTAGAATAAGCTGTGCTTGCTTTCAGGAAGTAGTCTTGCGGACACTGTAGTGGCGGGGCAGGGACACTGCAATGATGCTCATGAAGTGAGGGACCGTCATAGCTGGGGTGTATTGCTGCTTCACCCCCAACACAGTCAGCCTCGTGGAAGGGGGAAGTTGCTGTGATAGAAACAAAGGGCATAAAGGTAAGAACGAGTAAAATGGTTTTGGTTCTTCGGTTAGACAGATCTGCAAAAGAATCAGGCAAGTGCATTCAAGAGTTTCTAAACCTGTGGCCCCAAGTGTCACAAGCTGACAGCTCTGCCACTTTTGCCCTTGTGCCTCATTTTGCTCCATCTTTTCCCTCCTAAGCCAAATAAGCATTCAGAACACAGATCTGTTTTCCCTTTTTGCCTAGGTTAGTTCTAATTGAGATTAATTTCCTGACCTGACACCACAGTAGGAAGTCGGTGCAATGGAGGGGCAGACACTGGGGATAACAGAACTGTCTCAGCAGCAGTAGTGTCTTGCTTCTATAAAGCTGTGGCCTGAAACTGAGGAATTTGAGTCAGCAGGTATTGTACGACCTGCTGGAAATGAGCTGTTCTGCAGGCTCGACTTGGAGTTCCCTCTTTTATTGACATCTCGGCCCTTTGAAAATAACCAGGCACAGGCATAAATCCATAGGTTGCAGCAAAAATTTGCTGGGCAGTGACACTGCAGTCACATCTTTGCAACGAAGGATAGAAAAAAACTTGTCTTCACAAAGGTGTCAGCGTTGCAGTAACACTTCATCATTAGCTGAGGCTACTGAGCATTTCTAGCATAACATTTCATTGTAGTTCTAAGTGATGTCTGTCTTCAGGGCATAAATCTTCAGGGCCTATATTATCTTGAAATAAAGGTGACAAAGCAATTACATACATTAGGAAAATTTTTTATGAGACTGCTGAGAGTTACAATACTATACCAATTAACAGTGTAAATTGAGATGATTTCAGAGAGAAGTGTTTGCACTGGTACTGAGTAGCAGTGAGATCTTTGGGTAGGAAAGTGTGGCAAGGTAATAGGGTCTTAGAAAAGAACCACCTTCCCTGCTATCACCTTTTTTCAAAGAACTGTGTCTGTTTCTGTAGCATGTTTCTGGACTTTCAAATATACAGTGTATATAAGGTGAAACGTGCGTTTTGCTTGATACGCAAAAGGTATTTAGAGCCAGGGCCTTTTTCACATTCAGTGTGAGTCTTTTCTGTGACCAAGCTGAGGCTTTGATTGAGGCTCAGTCATGTCCATGGCTGTTTGTCCCTATGTTTGGAGCAATCATTTGAGGCTATGGGCTTCATCCTGCCAACTTTTTAACAGACCAGCAAACTCCGGTGCTTGGCAAACCCCCACCAAAAAGTGATGTGACTTATTGATGGTCACTAGTGACGAACAGCGTGGGGGGGATGCAGCAATTCTGGGGCAGTTTGACCCTAATAGCTGCCTGTGGGCAGAGTGGGACTTTTTTTTAAACCTTTGCAGGGCATTTAGAGCTTCCTTTCCTCTCTCCTTTTTTTTTCCTTCCCCCCTCCCCTTTCCCCCACTTTTTTTCCCTCCATTTTCCCCCTTTCCCCTCCTTTTCCTTCCCCCACCTTTTCCCCTTTTCCTCCTTTTCCCAATTTTTCCCTTTTCCCCTCCCCCCTTTTCCTCCTTTTTGCTCCCCTTTTCCTCCTTTTTCTCCCCCCACCTTTTCCCCTTTTCCTCCTTTTCCCCCTTTCTCCCATTTTTCCTTTTCCCTCCCTTTTCCCTCCATCCCCCCCTTTCTTTTCTCCCTTTTCTTCCCTTTTTTCCTTTCTTCCTGTCCTGTTTTATCCGACAAGGCGTTTCGTCCCCTGAGCAGCCGGAGCCCTCAG